ACAGAAACATTCCAACGGTGAGATATAAACATACCAACGAGGAAGCGCTCGAGTATTATACGAAATACTCGAACGTTCTAACGAAAACAAATCGAACGGAAGTCGTAAAATTTGTGAAAGGAAAGATTTAGCCAACGATGAGACATAAGTAAACCAACGACGAAGCATTCGAATATTGTACGAAATACTCGAATGCTGAAACAAAGACAAATAGAATGGAAGAAATAAAATCTGGAAGAAGAAAAATAATTAGAACCTGAAACAAAAATAATTAGTACCTGAAAGAAGAAATTATTGTTAAATTATTTAAGAGAGTGGACAATGGCCACTGAATAGCCATTGATCTAGCCAGCGATGATATACAAATAAACCAACGACGAAGCATTCGCATATTGTACAAAATGCTCGAATGTATAAACAATGAAATCTAGAATAAAAGAAATAGAATCTGAAAGAAGAAAGATAATTAAAACCTGAAACAGAAGGAAAGAATATTAACGCGCACCCTCCGAAGTCGAACCGACAACTGGCTCAAGTCTTCGCTCGGGCCCCTTATATAGCGGCGGCCGGCCGACGATCGGCGAAATTTTCCGAACTTTACCGATTCCTTTAAAAGTTATTTTTCCGTGGTAATAGCTAATAATTTATTAATTTTTTCACTTTTATTATAAATATACGTTGCAAGCAATTTGTTCATAACAATTTAAATTTGTTATTAACAATGGGTGTATTAATTAATAAACTTTCTTAAATTATATGAACGTTTTAACGTGAAAATGTTATAAATTCAAGTAATAAACAGTAATTTATTAAATTTGTTTCACTTTTATTATGAATTCACATTGTAGGCAATTGTTTATTAGCAATATTAATTTGTTACTAACAATCAGTATAATAATTCATAAACTTTTTGCAAATTATAGGTAGATTTTAATACATGTGCTTTATAAATTCAAGTAATAGTCAATAATTTATTAATTTTTTCACTTTCATTATAAATTTACATCGCGAACAATTTGTTATTGACGATATTAATTTGTTATTTACAAGGAATATGATAATTCATACATTTTTAATCAACTATAACTATATTCCCACGTCCATAAGATAAATTTCCATGATATATATTTATGTCAAAATGTGACAGTTATTTAGAGACGCAAATAACTATAATTATGGACGTTCATAAACTCAGCATACTCTCACCTAACTTATAAAGTAACAATGAACCTCCTAGCGCTCTTACTTTTAACGCAATATTTCATTTTATCCAAAAATCGTGCGTTTCTAGAGAAAGCTACAATTTTCAAAAACCTAAGGACAACGGAGCAATTTCTATTAGGCAATTTCTATTAGGAATTTCTTAAATAATAAGCTTCGCAATAATTATCCAATGGACATCACAGATTAAAATTCCCGTCGAACACCGTGATTTTCCACGCGGCGTACTGTGTAAAACGTAAGGAAAATGAGGAGAAAAGGCAAAGAGGAGAACGATGCACGATGCTCAACGATAAAGAGTAATATCCAGTTGGTGCATCGATTCCTAGCTCGGGATTCGATATAACCACGCGAGAACGGTTAATTTTTCGCTCTTCATCGAATACGTGGGACTCGGTTACGCGGCAGCCACGGCCGCCATTTTCTAGCACTCGGGAATTATCGGTCCTGGTTGGAATTGAATCGTTCGATAGGATGATAGATCCCGGAGTATCCGGGACGGGTGAAAAGTGGTGTATGAAAAATTCATCGGTCGACGGGAGCATTAACGTCCGGCAACTCGTTTCCCTGAAACTTTCCTCGATATCGCCCGGCGACGCGTAATTTGACGGCGAATGATTGAGCGTCGAGGATTGTCGAATCCAGCTCCCATCGACTTCTGTCTAGAACTCGGAACCATTTCCGTGGAACGGGAAAGAACCAGCAACGCGAGTGTGCTTCGTCTGCGCGAAAGTTGGGCGAGGGTTGCAGCGCAGGATCGAGGAACGTTTTCGCAATCTTTGACTCGATCCTAGCGACTATGATCCCTTAGATTCGTGACATTCCATCGAATTCGACTTTCAACTTCGACTCTTTATACTATGCATTGCAAATGAGAAGTCCACTGAGCAAAACGTAGGACCGAATCTCTACTAACCCTCAGCAACCCTCCCATTCTAACGCAATCGCAGTAGAGTAAACGCGCTTTCCTTATTGACACAAATGATGCTTTCCCATTAACCTGATCGTATAGCACCGTATGACAAAGAAAGCGAACGAAACAATGGAGACAAAGTGAGACAGACGCAAGAAATAGATGCAAGAGCGAAGACTTATCCCTAAAGCCTCCTTTTCTCGAACGCACAGTACACGCACAAGTTTTTTGACGCGACCGATCAGCTTTAGCGAACTTTCGTAGCGGAGCTTCTTGGGATTCGTTTGGGAGCTTCGTTCGAGAGAAGAATATCACGAGTGTCTAAACGTTTGTTCCTACGAGATTGTGTTTCGGATCTATTTATCAGCGAAGAGTAAAATTTAAATAACAGTTTGAAGTTTATCAACGTCGTGGAAGCGACGCGAAGGGTTGAAAGAAAGGGTTGAACGCAAGGGTTGAGCGAGAGGGACCTCGAGGCGTCGAAGGTTCTTACACGAACCCAGGTTCATTACGGAAAGATGAAATTTAATGCCGGTTACTTATGCATACGACGCATAGAGACCGTATTATCCGCGCGTTATTACGCAAACAGGATGCATACGAGCCGGAAGTGTCTCGCAAGAGAAACGCGATCGCGCGATCCACGGGAACTTAATGACGGTTAATATGTAATTCCCCTGCATTGAAATCCGATATAATATTTCGAATTCTCGTCCCGTGATGTTAATAAAATAGAACCACACACCCCGGTACGTGTGGCTGCTGCTGGGTCAGGGGGTGCATTAACGTATTCGGTATTGGAACGTATAGAATGGATAGTGCGACGCATGCGATATACAATTTCGATAAATTCGACATGCAGGATGCCTGATGATAGACGAATCCCGTGTACGAGCGAGAATAGCAACGATGTGGCAGAATAACGAGATGATTTTATTGCGTTCGCGTTCTAGGATCCATTGTATTATCGTTTGCCAACGATTCTAATTGTAAAAATGGATTTGATCAATACGTGTCGGTGATATAATTCGGAATAGTGTAAAGAGACAATTTTTAGGGTAAATTTATGTCCACCTAATTACTCTCGGATGTGCGTATTCCGTTCAGGTGCGTAATATGTGAAATAATTTATGGGAATTATATTTTCCATGAAGATAATAATACGTTTTATTGGTTAGGAGACCGTATTGTCGAGCAATTGTATTCGTGACATTTTATAAAATGGAATCATATTGCAAATTTTATTATTTGCTTGATGTTCAACGATAACCTGATTTGTTATTATTAAAAGACTTGCTCGAATGATTTGACATTTCAGTAATTTCCTGTATTACCGGCAGAAGATATTGCAAATGACCGATGAATATGTGACCAACCGCTGCTCGAAAATATACAGAGATCTACCGTCGGTTTCTATATTACCGGTAATCGGCTTAGTTGAGAATGAATAATTGTTATAAGCGAGAAAGATGCTTGCGGAGTGGATAAACTAGAGGAATTGTAAACTTCTAACTTACCGATCGTTGATTTCTTTCTTCTCCATATCGGAGCAGCTCCGGATTGAATGTTACCTTTCTTCTGGCATCAGCGTTGCTGTGTCCTTCCATACTCAGGTTGTCAATGTAAGGATGTCAACATTGCTTGTAATTCTAGAAATTAAAAAATAGTTTGCACATTAACAATATTTATTAACTAATCGTTGAACCTCTGTGCAATACAATTATATAATTATCAAAGGTCATTAATTATTATAAAATATTACGATACGTATAATAGAATTTTCCAGTTTTCAACTTCTCTTTCTTCTATTAATAATTATCTTTGTTGTTTTCGATGATCAATTCCAATTATGGCTGCAATAGCTCGCAACTCGTGTAAGGAGTATTCTGACTTATTCACAATCGGTATTACAGTACATGGGAAAATGTATTTCGTATCTATGTTAACCTTAAGTTTAGTTAGAAGATAAATATTTTATCTGTATTATTATTTGAAAAAGGTAATAAGATTCAAATTTTTCCAATAATATTTATGTTTGTAATTAAAAAAGACATTATTATTGGCTGTCGATAATGAGGCTAATGTATATCTTACATCTAATTTTTTGAATTGGTTTAGGTTCTATATTTTTTCATATAATTATGCTATATACTATCTCAATATGGTGTAGTGTACTTAAGTGGTTGGAATTCTTTCAAAATATGCGATTGATTTGTCGGTATGACTAACTGGCTTCTGAAGTTTACTACAGTAAACTATAGAGTGCAGTATGTGCTATGGAGAAAAAGTTTACTAAGTGTTTGCTCTTATGTTGATTTGAAACATTTCCATATAAATAAAAATGATGTTATCTCCTTTACGATTTGTTGGTAGTTCTGTGGTGAAAAATATGACTCTGTTCAATGGAAAATTGAGAAAATTATCATATTTAAAAGATACTAGTGTTCGAGATATTCATATAACCTCTAATGTTATGAGAGAATATAAAATAGGGAATAAAAAGGTGCGATCTCATGTTAAAGGAAAAACTACATCTATAGAAGGAGAGGGATCACATGTAGTGGATGTTTCTTCTGTTAGTAAGGGGTTTGTATCATGATCCTACATAACATCAATGTTAGATTTATGCCATAACTTTGTACAATGTATTGTATTTTAATATAATTAGTTATGGCTATGAAACAAATATTTACACCATGCTGATTTTAGAACTTTATTTCCTGATGCTTCAACGCAACATAAATATTTTAATGGTATACAATATTCTCATTTACCTATTATCAACATAAAGACGACTCAAAATAACACGATAATGACTGTTACTGATCACACTGGTAAGTTTTTCTATAAAAATCTTATTCATCATATATGTTATGTGCACCATTTTGTAATTATAACCAATATTTCTATAGGAAAAGTAATGAAGATTCATTCTGCTGGAATCGAAGGTTTTAAAAATTCAAAGAAAGGCACCAACATTGCTGCCCAACAAGCTGCATATTCATTAGGAGTCGTAAGAAAATTCTTTAGTAGTATATTTATTTTTTTTTACATTTTTGTTACATGCTTTATATTTTTTCAGCGTTTGTATAAGGAAGGCATTACAACACTCAGGGCAAGAATACAAGGTATTGGACCTGGTAGAATGGTAGATATTAAATTGAATTGTTTAAATAATATACATAGAGAAGTTCTTAATAACTATTTTTATATCTATTCAGGGGTCATTAAAAGGTTTACATCTAGCAGAGTTATCCATTGTTTCTATCACAGATGATACTAGAGTATCATGGAATCCTCTAAGAGCAAGAAAACAAAGAAGAATATAATTTATAAAATGTCTCATTGTGTATTTAATAAATATGTATTAAAATATATTTTTTGCGCATAATTATGTTCTAAATATATTATTAAATTACAATACTTCTGGTAATTTGTTTATAATACAAATATCTTTCATATAACAACTATAGTACAAAATAATGACTAGATAATGAAGCAAATTTCATAAATTACTTATGTATCGTCGAAATAGCTTTGCTGAACATCTTAACTGATAATTATTTTGTTACATTTTGTACTCTTCATAACTTATTGCAATCGGTGAGATACATATTGCAAGTAATGACTATTTCCTGTGTCTATTGAAATTTTACTTAAAAAATCTAATAAATAAAACAGAAAATCTTCAAACTTTCTTCATCGCAGCACATGTTGCGTGATCCAAGGTATGTATTCCGAGACACGAGTATACACACCCGGAAGTCGTGGTCGAGCGCATCCTACTCCCGATGAAACCACCCCTACGACCATTACGCTACCATGAGGATGACTTCCGATCATCAGAGGACCTCCGCTATCACCCTAAAGAAAAGTACAAGATATACAATTTTCTTTACACATTTTCCCAGCAAATATAAACATCGATCAACATTAATCTTCGAATTTCGTCTAACTGAAACATCGTTCGCTAATGATAATATTCACAATTTTCGGCATAACTTCCACTTCTAACTTACAGTTGCAACTTGTCCGGGAGTAAGGGATTATTTTCATCGCAGCGTTAATAACTATTTCGTTAATAATAATCACCTAATCAGTATATAATTTTACGTCATCTTGACATACGATTATCTATACCACGTTTACCGACAATCAAATGCAGACTACTGATACTACGCGACGCTGTTCACCGAAGTAGAAGACAACTGTCAAATGACCCGCGAACGGAATCGTAAACCCGTGATGAAACGTATCGAGTTGGAAACAGCGGCATCCCTTTTTTCCCCCGCAAGCTACCCGTCCCAGTAATTACGTTATACCGGACCGCAATATTTTGTAAACATATTTTTCGACGGTTTTCAGCCCCTCGTCCTTTTTTTTCTGTCCCTCTGGCTGTTTTGTGGTCGAATGATTCGGCCTGTGCCGGGGTACCCTGTCCAATCTCTGGCTGTTAATTCAACCTGCGTCCGCATCTACACGAGCAACCGGATATTTATTGAAATTCGTGTCGTGGTTGTTCGACAGGGCGTGAATTTCGTGTACGAACGAGTGACACGGGACTCTGTCTCTAACTAGCTGAATGGGAGGGAGATCGATAGAGAGCGGTAGGTTCGCGGGAAGTATAAAACCGGGATAGATAAGCAGTGGGTTTTCACTTACCCAGCAAGAGTCGCGGCCACCTTCTTCGTGGCCAGCGCACATTTGCTTCGACTCCACGCGGGTCAGCTTGCCCTGACTGGCGTACCATTCGCGACACAGCTTGTTCTCGATCACGCGAACCTCCACTTTCTGCAACACGTCCGCCCGTTTATCTGCAAGACAAAATGGTACGGGTGTTTCACTTCGGTGTTTCACATCGCGGCCATTTTGGATAGCTTCTAATCGCGGACAAGATCGCGACTACTCGAGTCTTTGATACACTCTTCGCTGCTCCGTTTAATTAACCAATGGGATAAAATTGAATATCCGACGTCACGATTATTTATTACGAAATAGACTTTATCGTATATCTATATAATTATTCGTGATTTCGAAACTGCGTTCGAAACACAACGATTGGCACGTATACGCGTATGTGTTTAGCACAGAAGTGTATATTTAACGTTTGCAACGTCGATCGTAGATTTATATCGAGATGATCTATTAATTTGATATTTCATATTCGTTGTTAGGTATTTTATTCGTGCAGCGACCCCCTAATGATAATTATCCCTAGTAACATTTAGTAAATGAAACACAGCACCGAGATTAAAGTTCAACGGAGCATAATCCACGTTCCGAGTACGGTTTCATATAATAATACGTTATTAACGTTATTAATATGTTATAATAAATTCCGTTTCTGTGTCCCGTGTCTCGCAATTAACGAACGCTTCGTGCTAACAAGAAAGATATGACGATAAAAAAATAGGAATCACGAATCTTTCTCGCCTCTTAAAATACGAATCGTCGAAATTTGATTTCACCGTAGAGCGCTTTTTGGTCGAAGTTCGATTCGATCGCCACCCTAGATCCCCTAATTCAGGGCAGCGAGTAGAAACTTGGGTAGAAGGTTAGCCTAACCGACGTAGAATTCGCTTAACGGTTCTCTGGGAATTTCGCAGACGTTTCACTTCTCTTGCACAATATCATTATCGAAAACAAATTGACCGGGACAAACGTTACAGCTTATTCTTGCTGTCTTTGTACGTGTATAACGCTTTCATCGAGCCAGTTCGGTTGGAAAGCCAGCTGGAAACGCCACGGTGGCAAAATCGTCGATTTTCTCGCCGAGTTACGGTCGATTTTATATCGTCCCATTAATCCGATGAAACGCCAAGTAATTAACGTCAACGACTCTCGGTTCCCGGGCGAATTACCGGGCAAAAGGAAGAGACCGTGGGATGAAGTGGAATTATTTACTTACATTTGGACCTGTCTTCGCCGAACCAACCCCATCCAGCGGCCCTGGCGAGTTCCCCGCCGAAGGCGCTGTACCCTGGTTTCCCTGTGGCCACAGGTAAACAGGCGGGTTTCACGCTCTCAGACCAAGCGATTGGCCTTGCGAGTTCCAGAAGGGCAATATCGTCCACGTATTTTCCGCACTTGTGGCCAGGGTGCAAGATGGCGTTTGCAACTCTCTCTTCTTTCGACGCCGGCACTTCCGGTCCCTTCAAATTGTACTCGCCGAGCCTTATCCTCAGTTGACCGACGGGAATTACGGAGGTGGCTCTGCATCCAGGAAAGAAGACACGTCTTTTATTTCCTACTCTATCCAATCTCTCGGAATATTGCGAAAGCGACGATCGAAAGATGTAAGAATTATTTCGAAGAATCGGTTAGGTACACGATCGGTATCGTTTCGGGAAAAGTATCATATCCGTAATAGGGATCAGGCTGTTTGCCACGTTTCGCGATTTTTGCAACGCGAAGGATGTTTTAGGAGACGATTAATTTCGGCTACTTCTTAGAGAAATACACTCCCATTTTAGCCCATATTCCCGGCACTTCCACGGAACGTACAAGTTACATGCTACTTCCTTAAACTCGCGTCTTGTAAACCGTCGTGCTTTAAAGCTTCGCAGGAACGTTCCTTTGAAAAACGACAAGTTATAACTTCCACTTTGCACGCATTACGGATACATGTAGGCCAAGTAGGACGAATAGCCCGGTACTCTGGCCGTTTCCGGCCGCACGGAGTCAAAGTCCGGCAACGACGCCCGGCAAGTAATCATCGTGGAAAGTCGAGTGCACGATGCAACGAAGACGTATAGATGTGTGAGAAACAAAGACGGTACCAAACGCTTCTTCCATTTTCTTCGTACCCCGATGTTTCTAAGGCAACGCTGCAACCCCTCGCGACCCGTGCTCCTGCACGCAATTATTTAGCCGAGATTTTTCCTTCCGTTACAGAAACCCGACGGTGTTGGTGTCTGAACGGTCTCAAAACGCAGTGGTTTCCGCTTAATTAATTGGTCGACGCGGCAGCCGAATAACTAACGAAATTATGGCGGCTTTCATCCCTTCCTCCATTACAAACGATGGATGGGAAGGTGGATGGGAAGGTGGTCGGAAGGACGGAAGGGTAAGGGGTGTTTCGTCCCAGTTTCTTCGTCGCCTTGATTCCAGCGACTCCGCGGGATGGTACAATCACACTCGAGTCGTTTTCCAAGTTTCAAGGTTCGTCTCTTCTCGCAAAGACATGCCCACCCTCCCTAATGGACCCTTCTATCTCCGTCCTGGCAGTTCCATTGTTACGGCACCCGTTGTGGATTATACGATTTAGCACGGATGCATCATCGTAGTCGCTCCCTGCCCTTATCATCGCACCCCTTCCAATTAAAATGCACCGCTGGCTAAACGCTGGATCGCGCCACCAGCCGAGGGGAGTGGCCTTTTTAATTGGCAACTCGACCATTAATCGCGCCGTTAATCCGCTTGTAAAGTCCTCCGCGAGAGGAGAAAAGGGCTGCCAATTGTTTCGCCGCGAGCCTGCTCGCGGTTCTTCCGATTTCCTCGATAACGTACACCCGTCGTTTCTTTCTTTCGCCTCTCGAATCTTGCGCGAGAATCGTTATTAATCGTCGAAACGGCGTTGCGCGGTATTCCAAAGCGACAATGGCAATGGATGGAAGCCCGTCTAGCGGCGTATTCGCGATTTTTCAACGTCTCCGCCGTATTTTTTCCCCTATCCCCCGATTTCTTCCCACCCTCGCGATAGCTTAACAAATAATTCTCTTTCGCGCGTAGAACCGCATTAACGAAATTTATTTTGGCCGTTTCCGTGAGCGATAAAGAAAACGCGGACAATGGCAGGGAGTCGGATATATTTTCACCATCTCGCGCTGGCTGGCAACATTTTGTCATGCGTTTTGCATGGCCGCTAGCAATTACCGAGTGGTCTGTAATCTACACGCAATCATGGTTTACAACGCCGAAGCTCCGTTGGATTCTCTCTATGGCCACCCTGTCCAGTTTCAACCCCTTCCTCCATCATCGCCCTTCCACTCTCTCTCTCTCTCTATATATATATAGATATATCTATCTCTCTCTTTCTCCCTTGCTTCCTACTCCAGCTCAGCTCTATACGTGTACCGAAGGAAGACAAAGACAGAGAACGCCTACACGTTTCATCGCGCTACGCCACTGTCTCGACGTTTAATTACACCTGCATGGACACTGTTCCACATAAATCTCCGCGCTTGTATTCGCGAGAAAAAAGGATTACGAATATTTTCGAAACCTCCCCCCTCTCTACATTTTACCCGGTGATTGGAAGAGTTTTCAGGATACCATTACCATGCCTCGAATGTGATTCCGTTAAAATGAGGAGCGTCGAAATTACTTTTAAATTGAACCACCGACACATTTCCGCCCTTCCTTCCGTTCCCTTTCAAACGTACAACGCACCACCTTGAATATCCATTCTAACGTGCAATATGTAATCGATTCGAAATCATCCAGGCACATACCCCGGCCTGTTATTAGCCTACAAACGAGTCGTCGTCGTCGTACTTTCTTTTTTCCTTTCCACCCCCTTTCTTCCTCCCCATTGACCGCGTGTCACGAGGATATTTCAAATTCCGCGACAAATTCAGTCCCGTATATTACGCGTGGACGATGATACGCTAAATGTAGACCAAATAAATTGCACGCGGCGATGAAACGGTGGGCCGACACGGTGTTTCATCGATAGCCTATTGCATAATTAATCGCAGACAATTCCGCGAATATCGGGGAAAGGGCGGTTGTTAATAACGACGAACGATCCGATCGATCGCGTAAATAATTTCGTCCGCCAATCAATCGGGTTAATCGTTGGACGAGAAAATCACGCGGAATCTTTCATCGATCGACTTTCTCCGGTAAGCTCGTTACATCGTTACACCATTTAATAAGCCGCTATCGAGCTAATCGCCCGCGTAAACGATAAAAACGTCGGCGTTATGCGACGCGCCGAGATTGATTCGCGTATCCGCGCGAGCCACCCCCGTTTCCCTGACGGAACGTTTTTCACCCTGGCATTTAATAAAAGGCCGCCCCTTGACTCTATTTGGCGACAGTGTTTACGCGGGCAAATAGTCGGCACAGCAGTTTTTAACTTGACACAATGCTCTTTGCGTTTCCATTCGACTCGCTGGTCCGCCGGAAAAATACGCTCGAGGTTTCATTTAAAATGTAATCGTTGTTCCAATTAACATCGATATCGCGCCCGGTCGTTGTATATACGCGAACCGCAGGGAACGACGGGACACCGGGAACACGAGTACATGGGCCGCGTCGTTTTATATAATTTTAACGAAGTGATTGGCCGTTTATCCGGCTCGTTCGATAATCACAAAGCCGGACACAGCAAGTCAGAGGAAACGCGTTTGTCCCGTTAACGATGCCTCCAACGCGTTCACCAACGCGTTCTGCCTATCGTTTTGCGCGCGTATAATCTCTGGCAACCGGTCAGAAATTCTTCCTCGTTTTCCCCCATTTTCCCCTTTTATCTTTAATTCGCGCGATCCCGTTTCGCGTTACGCCATTCTCCGCGCTCGTCGCGTCTTCCTTTTGCCACGGCAAATGTTTCGCGTGAAAGTGACACGATAAAAATAGGTGCAGCGTGACACTGGAATTTTCCTACCATACACCCTCTCTTCCCCTCTCTTTCACTCCTCTCCTCCTTATTTCCTCCTCCTCTCTGTCCATTTTTTCGCCTCCTGCTTCTTTTTCCCTTTACATTTTTCGTCTTTTTGCACGCGTTACGTAATTTCCAGAGACGCGCGCATTAAACTTTTTATCCGTCCGCGGAGCGTGATGATTTTTGCAAACTACGGGCCGTAATCGCAGCGCCGAGCAACACGCGGATTTCTAGCTTTTTAAACCCGGCACAGATTCGCATAGATTGCACGGATGGATTAAGTGGATTACGACGCAGTCACTTGCGAAGCTTTTTCCTGCTGTTCTTAAAAAAATTGAACCACTCCGGCCCGCAACTCCGAAGCGATATTTCCCGCGCCGCACTTCCGATTTCCATGTTAACGCGCTTGCGAAAAATGGCGATATTTGTCGTCCGCGCGACTCGCTCCACCGCGATCAGAGACACGTAAACGTTTCCGTCGTTCGCACCTTTTTCCCCGATCGTTCTCCAACGAATTTCTCCGGTAATTCCACGAAATTTCCACGGCAAAATCGCAATCGCGGTAATTTTTAAACGATTCGTAATTTCGCGATTATTCTCGAGGGAATTAAAAAAGAATTCCACATTGTCGAGCATTGCGATAATTCCGCGCGACAGCGTTTGACATTCGGATTCCGTTATAATTATTCTTATAATTTAAGAAAATTAAATTTACAAATTTTCACGACCTCTTTCGCAAATTTCAGGACGAGATCGCATCCTGTGGTTCGTTTTTACACCGATCGTTATTCAAATGTTTTCCCCGCGATCGTTTCCAAACGATTCCAAAATTTCGACGACTCCGAAAGTTTCTATCCCTCGTGGATTATTCTGCGAATTTGGAAAAAAGGATCGCGGCCCCGATTCTCGTGTGGTACAACAATCCGTTTTTACAACGTTCGCGGCAAATGCATTTGTAACGACGCATTTGCATGGCGAAAAATGAATACGTTTCCGGTAAACGAGATTTAACCGTTCGGGCATCGAGTACCGCCATTCAATCGTCGAGATCGGATCGGAATAATTACAGCCACGGTTTGTTGGACAAGATGGTTGCTCGCGTTTCGCTGACATTTTAGTCGCGATACCGAAAACGGTAGAAAATTTTGGCACACGGGCGCCACTGTGAATATCGTTCCGCGATAAGATCTCTCTCTCTCTCTCTCTCCCTCTCTCTATTACTCTCCCTCATGCTATATCCCCGTGGCGCGCTCGTAGATTCGATTACAGGGAACAATGGGCAGCTTTCCATGAAGAAACAGTCGGTTTTCTGCCATGAATATTTTCGATGGCAACCTGCATATTGATTACGCGAACACGCGTACACCGGCATTATTGCAAAGAATGGAGGTATAAACTATCCGTCCGATCGATATTGTAATGCTTTGAAATTTAGGTGCTCCTTTTTCCGATATTTTTCGCGAACTGTCCGGGAAACGAGTTCCCGAATCGAACGGACGGGGCGATTTATTTTGAATTTATAAATAATCGACGTATTATATCGTAAAGGTAGTGCAGCTATCGGATATTGGATAGTTCCGCGAGTAACAGAGTTTTTTAAAATCGATGCCCGGGAATAACGAATCTTTCGCTTCGAATCATCGTCTTCGTTCCGTCCTCCCGCTTCCTTACATCCCTTCCTTTCCGCTCTTTCATTAATTCGCGAAAAAAATCGTTTCGAGACAGTACAGAGAAGTCCCGAGGGATCTCTCGGTCGGGGAGAATTTTAAAAACGATCCATGTTTCATCCGATCCCCGAAACGATATTCATTTTGCTGCCGGATAAAATATTCGACGCATCGCGAGTTCCATGCGAAAGACACGGGCGGGAAAAATGCCAATTTTGTTCCACCCTTTGTGCGTGTCCCGAAATGAATTTCGCTCGCGCGTATAAGTATACACCGCGGTAATGCTATGGAATAATATGGGACACTACGCGTGGCAACGATAGAAGCTTCTTTCGTCGGCGCTGTATCAGTAAATAAATGATCGTTTCAAACCAAATAGGACCCCTACGATACAGCCGGATCGAATGTTTGCGGCGGAACACCGCATGTTTGCTCCTCCTCCAGATTTAAGTGACGAGTTTCGAGGGATCGCGAGATTTCCCAATTGTTTTTAGCCCCGTGTATCGTCCCCGGTAATCCTCGTAATCGGGTCCCCGTGGAAATATCGAGCGTGCGAGATTACTCGTCGAAGCGTTAATTAATAAAATGGCGCGAGAGCGTGGAAAAGACGATAGAGAGTTTACTCACGAACAGAGGCAATGGGCTGCAGTCAGGACGAATCTTGAATTAAGAATGGTACCGCCGCAGAAGTGTCCTCCTTTTCTGCTGATGCTCACCATCCAAGGGAACTCGTGTGGTATCGCGTTCTGTCCTCCGACCAGCCTCGCCGTGCGTGAGCCAATGTTTCCTCGGCCGCAAGGCACGTCGGACACTGTGATCGTAAACATAGCGTTCCTTCGTTAACATCCGAAAGAAAACAGTCGTGCTTGGACGCGAATAGGAGAAAACGATGCGCGAATTCTGCGCGGTAAATTGCAACCGGCCGTTCGCGAATCTCGATTTCGCGAAATTTGATCGATAATTAACGAGCCATTAGCAGGCATGATAATCCTCGTTTTGATATTTCATGTCTCCAGCTCTTTAGGAAAGATTAGGCGACCATTTTGCACCCCGTCGCTGCAGCATTCTCACTGCTGCGCCTTCCTTTTTCGCGAATCCGAGTGCGTATAATTCGCGAAATTAGAATGGGATTAAAAAGTCGTGACCTCATCTTCGTCGCCATTAAATGGAATTACGAGAACAATTTACGATTAAAGGGAAAATGTTTTCGAAAAGTTTCGAACCGCCGAAGAACCCACGGCACTGCTTTCTCTGGCTTGTTTCTTTTTTCCCCTTTTTTATTTTTCATTAATCGAGCTCGGCCACGAGCACTACCAAAGCTCGTTTCAACTTTTATCAAAAATAATCACCCGGTAAGCGGCGTGTTCGTTAACATCTAAAGCGAATTTTGTTTCGGTTGCCGCTTTCACGAAAATGCTATCCAATTTTATGTTGAAAAATGGCAATCGATTAATCGGCAATCTTACGAATTTTCCGAATAAAATTTCTCTAACCGCAAATTACGAAACGAAATTTCCTGTTAATTTCTTCATTCTGCTCCAAGTTATCGATCATTACTGCGAAACGCTATGAATATTATAAGACCGTATTACCTAAATTTTTCCTGTCCGAATATCTTCCATTATCCAAACGTTTCATTATTCAGACCTTATATTTTATTCCCCGTATCATCGTAAAATTCAAATTCCTCGTGTTAACAGGAATTCGAGGCAAAAATTATCGCCCGAAAAAAGACGCGAGATCCATAAGTATTTAAAAGGATAATATATTTCACACCTTGCTATCGTCACAGACATAATCCTTCCAGCGTTATAAAATAATCTTCGTAAATCAACGATACCGTTGCTCACCAAAACAATCAGGTTTCTCTATCACTTCGAATTCCGAAATTCCCTCAATACCAGCACAAGCGACACGCAAGAGCGAACCGAAATTCCACAGGAAACTTACTCGAATCTATTCCCCAACTTGGAACCTCTGCCGATCTTTAACCCCGTTCATCGACCTAGCGCATAAAACGACCAACATCTTCGAGCTCGGTGCCAGGATGTGGGCGGGGGTCAGGTGAAACCACGGACGAGACGTGTCCAGCTGGTGATGTGCAAGCGTTTAATTGAAAGCTGAAGCAGCGCGTACAGCGGAATGTTAACCGATTCAAGAGGAACCAGCCGCTGACGGCACCGGTACTGGCATCGCGCGAATTTAATGCCCCGAGCAGATAGGGATAGATACGGCGGATCTGTCACCGCAATCCCTGCGACAACCCCCTGGCCCTCCGCCGAATCACCCCCGCCCTCCCTCTTCCACGTTTCCCCTCTCGTTTCACGCCTCGGCTGATTAATTGGACCTCTACGTCTGCACCACCGATCCCACCCACTCTGGTTACGGGCTCTCCCTTCGACCCTCCAGTTTCCAGCCCCTTTCTCTACTTCCCTCCCTTCGCTCCCTGGTCTCCCGTCTTCTCTTCTCCTCCCCCTTCGCTCTTATGGTCTCTCCTCGTCTTTCTCCTTATCTCTTCTCGCCTATTTTCTCGTATCTTTTCGCCTCCCTTCTCGTTTCTTCTCGTATCTCGTCGCTCTTCGTCTTCTGCCTGTTCCCCGGTGTCAGGGGTACGGCGGGAAGAAGACAGAGAACGAAGGGATACGCGGGCAAATACGAGAAGGGACGAGGGGTAGGTGGGCAGAGAACAGGCATAGAATTCGAAGTCACCTCTATTCGGAAACGCGTAATAGATATGTCAAAAGCAGGCCGAACATGGTCATGATAATATGCTGATGCCTTCGCCGCGCCATCGGCGACTACCCCTCTGGCTCGTTTACCAGCCCCCCCTCGTGGCTGATTTCGCTCACAGTTTGGGCTAGGCCTTTTTCTCCTGTCCCACGATGGCCGGACGGACAGGTTGGAGATTCTTTTTCGAGCCTTTTGTGCGGATTCCGGCGGCTGCAGGTGGCAGCGGATGGGGTTATTTTAACGGCCGGAAGAGCCTGGATCACGCGACGCTGGCTCGTGCGGGAAGAAAGGAAACCCTTTCGGTTTGCTCTGCCTCGGCTTTTTCCCCGGGTTTCCCCTTTCAGTGGTTTCATGCCGATTTAAATCGCTACCGATGCGTTCAGTCCCGGCTCGAGTGAGTTTGACAGCCATTCTGATGTTAATTGCGATACGGGTGTAACGCGTTGCATCGGTTCCAGATATGTTAAACTCGCGTGTTTCTGAATCAAAATTTATTTTTACCGCGCATTTAACTATGGAACCGCGTCGAGCCAGTTGCAACCAACGCTTGCACGCTCCTTGCATTTCCAATTATCGAAAATGTGCAGTCGCATTCGGAAAAATTGACGTTCCTCCTTATTTCTGTAAATACGTAACGTAGATCTACATATTGTCCATTACACCAGTCTAATTATTATCAACTGTACGAGTTACATGATATTAAGATAGACATTACCGATGGATAGTTCTACCGTACATTTGGGAATGATTAAAATCGATTAAGTATCAACAAATTATCTATACGAATTGCATTCGGAAAATTAATCGTACGGATAGTTTTTCCGTTCACCGTTTTATCCGTATCCCATTCAGGTCGTATTTCGTTTCGCACTTGTTTGCCCTACGAACATGGAGAAACGTGTACGCGATGTAAATGACGCGGATCATGACGATGAATTCGGCTGGATTAAAACCAGCGAGTACGAAAAGTAAAAAAAACGGGGGAAAACAGGAAAAACGTGGAAGGAAAAAGGGGACAGGAAAAAATTGTGCCGGGAAGATTAAAAAGCGACCGTTGGAATGGTCGATTAGAAAGCTGTCACGTTTTGACCGATATTTTAATCGCGATACTTTTATCATCGGCGGAATTTTTATGGGAGCCCTGTTCCTCGCGGCTCAGGCACGAAATTCAGTAGTACAAAACACGAATGTCGCGTCGCATGAGATATGGAAATGTAAAGGATTAATTGAGGCTGTCTAGATCGATGGCAATTTATCTTGATAATTAATTTATCTTGCCACTCGATACCGGGTCGACATTATAACCCGATGGTTATGAAAATGATTTACGTAATCGTAATGGAAATATTTCGCTAATAATATTTCCGATCCGCGAGCCACGGGAATTCATGGAATTTCCAGCCGTGAAAGTTACGACGAATTTAACTTCCTGATGGATCATATCGGTCCGTATGAAACGAAATTCCGTGTTATTATCTTCCGAAAACCTATCCGAAACCAGTGATTACGCTTCAGGGACGTACCCCATTCCGCGTATCCCAGTTTCTTAGATATCATCGCGATTCCTGAGAATATTCGATGCCAGAAATATCAAACGAACGTTGCAGATATTTCGAATCTCGTGCCTGTCAACTTTCAACAAAATAAATTTCAACGCTTACCAAAATGCAAACGTAGTTACGTCTATCCGATATTTCGTCACGACGCTTCGACGTTGTTTACGTTGAAAATCTACATATCGTCGCGATCTGTGCAGGAAACGTTTAGATGCACTTTGCAGTTTGGTAGTCGCAGCACGAAGAAGCACGCAGAGCGATAATTTCGAAAGGAAGCGTTTTCAAAGCCCTTCATTTACGCGGTTCCCCGTCAGCGAAATAAATGTCCAAACTTCGCCCGATTACCATAGAAATGCCTCACACCCGTATGCCTCGTACCCAAATTCTTCAACATTGCTTCACCCGCCGAGATTACATACTAATGGAGGCTGATTCTTCGTACCGATAAGATAACGAACACCGGGAACGAGTCCGGGCAATTTTCAACTCGATATCTCGCGGTCAAAAGCGCCACGGAGGCTATTAATCACACGAGTCTTCTAATTACCGTCTTCGATCCTGCAAGATTGATTTCACGAAAGATTCCAAGATGACGCACGTGACTACCTGCCAGCCATTCGGCGTTCCGTCGTTCATCGTGTCCTATTATACTCGTTGCTACGTATTTATCCGAACGGATAATCGGGCCAAAAATCGATGAACTTTCGTTTCTCTAATTTATCGCCAATTACACCCGTGCCCATTAACGTGATTACCTTTCTGTGCGTGCGAGCCATTAATTTGTCCCTGGCCGTACGCATCGAATGCATAAACCCGATGCCGTCCGATTGCTAGGAACTCGAAAACCATGGCTCCATTTTGACCGTAATTAAATTTCTAGCGACCATGTGCGTGTATAGCCTTCGACGGGTTAAGAACCTCGATGCGACCGGTCTCGTCGTCGATACGTTGCCCCTTCAAAATTTTCGAGTCATCGAGCCGCTCGAGGCCGCGCATCGCCTAAGTCTGCCGGCCTTCGGCCAGGTTATACACCCATTTTTCTATTCCGCCCGTGTGTGCGAGCCTTCCGCATACGTAAGTCGCGGATAAGCGAACGAGCTAGCACGCAAAATTTCCGCGTACCTCGTCCGTTTCCTGACCTATCGTCGCGCGAAATTTGCGGTGAAACTTTCGACGAAATTCGCGCGGAAATTCGCGGGGAAATTCGCGAGAAAATTCGCGACGAAATACGCGACGAAATTTTCCGAAAAAACCGGGTAATAACGATCGCCGGAGAATTATGAAGAATGGCGGGAAATTTAAAAATTCTAAACGACGGATTGCAACGAATTCGAGTGAATTCGAAAAGGAGCGTGATATGGAAATTTTGATAATACCGGGAATTTTTAGCCCGGGAGGTATTTTCGATATGCGCGTTTCTATGGGAATCGTGCAACGAACCGCAGAATTCGATGGAAGAAATTTAATTGTTTGACGAGTTGTTCGAATTACGCCGAGCGATATGGCCGAAATCGTTGGCTCGGTTCCGATTATGATCGTTC